AGAGAAGTCATCGCAGCAGGGGGTTGAGGCAACTGGTCACATGTTATCCATAGTAAGGGGTCAGAGTTAATGTGTCTTGGATCTCAGCTAACTAGCTTGTCTGCTTTCTTCCTTCTTTCCTTTCTTCCTCCTTTACTCCCTCCCTTTGTTTCTATTCAGTATGGGACCCATAGCACAAGGAATGGTGCCTATCAGATTAAGGGAGACTTCCCATTTCAATTAACCTGAAGTAGAGCCTCCTACCCAAACATGACCAGTGGTTTGTTTCCATGCGGATTCTAGGCCCCATCGAATTGACATTCAATATTAAGAAATGGAGGTGGTAACCATAAGGTGCTTACTCTATGGCACCCAGGGCTCCTTGAAAATCAATTATGAAACAATCCTGCTACACTGCAGCCACAGCATTCTCTGATTCTAAGGCCTGGCATTTAGGGAAAATATTTTAGCGGATTTACACTCTTAAAGAAGCACCAAAGAAGACATATGGAGCTAATGAATTACACATCCAAATGCCATTATGGTATCTTTTGATAACAATCTGGGATACAGTTATACAGCTGGCAAGCCTTTATCATGCAAAATACTTAAAAATTGAGTTTAAAATTTTTAAAGATGAGAATACTATAGGTTTAGCTAGGGGTCCAGAAAATGTGAGTGAGAGGTATCAAGTTTAACAAACACAATGACACCAGCAATGTCAAACTCTCTTGAGTTAACAAATGAAGTCACAATCTGGCAAGAGAGGAAACAATCCGACTCCTTTTTAGACGACACATCATTGCTTCCATCCACCAAGGATTCACTGTTCTCCTGAGGCTGCAAGAACGTCCACAGTGAAAGGTGATTATGTATCATGATAGTTCACTTTTTAGCCTTTGGAGCTTAGACACGAATCAGACATAGAAATATGGACTGGGCATCAGGTTCTAAGAGTGTGAATCCTAGAAGCCTTGAGTCATAGAGTGATGCACAATGGCTAATGGCCCAGTTTCTGGAAGCAAACCACCCAAGTTCATACCTTAGGCTCCACTTCTTTCTATTCACATGACTTTAATTGTGTGGTCTAGATTTACTATAGGTTACTGGTTTGTAAAAGGAGGAAAATACACTGCCTGGGAAGAGATATATTGTAAAAGATTTAGCACGACATCTGCTATTCCTTATGAAATGCTAAGAAGTCAAGTGACTACTGACAAAGGGAGCACAAAGCAAGGAGCAGAAGACTAGAGATGCATAAGGTGTTATCTTCCATCACAGGGCACCATCCATTGATAACTTCTGTTACCAATACCTACTGTGGCGGTTTTTACACTACATCCATAAATCCTTTGATATTCCTCTACCTGGGAGACAAGGTTGTATCACTTCTTCCTTGCAAGTAGGTCGACCTCTGGGACCATTTCAACTAACATACTCTGTCATCAGTAGAAGTGACTAGTTCTATGTGCCTTACATACTGGGACACTGAGACCTACAACCATTAGCTGCTATTCAAATATCTTAATGCTGAAATGAGCCATGTTGTCGGGAAGTTCAGTGTAGCCCATGCAGAGAGATGACAGGAAGAAAGGCAGCCTAGGCCATTACTACTGATTCAGTCACAACAAACATCCATTACACAAGGGTACCCAAACCAGAACCACTCAACATATCTCTTTCTGAACTCAAGACACTGTAGTAGCACATGAAATGATGGCTGGGAGCTGGCTCTGTGGGTAAGAGTGCTTGCTATGCAGGGAAGAGGACTGAAATGCAAATGCCCAATACCATGTGTAGGTATGGTCACACATCCCAGCACTGGGGTGAGGTGGAGATAGGTAGATCCTAAGAACTTGCTGACATGTCATCCTAGCTCAAATGGAAGGCTTCAGGTACAACTAAAAGACTTTGTCCCAAAAAGTGAGGTGGAGACCAAAGGAAGAAGACACCCAAGGTCCTCCTCTGACCTCCACAGATGCATGAATGGGTATGTGCACATGCACACAGGTGGCCAAAAAATTCCCTACATGACTGCTATTGCCTTAAGCTATCAAATGTCAATTGATTTGACTACACAGAAACAGGGAAGAGCACCTATAGCATGTATATGGGTATTTACTTCCAACTCACAAACTCATTTCATCCTCACATTCATTAGGTGAGAGGATGTTGTTATTCTCATTTTAGTTCATGAGGGAAAATAAATTGTCACAGCTTATGGGTTCAATCAGAAGCATTCTTGCCTCTAGTTCTAGTGGGTTGTTTTTTTTTTTTTTTTTGATACTATACCACAATCAACCCCAGGAATGGTCAACATGAGAAAAGCAAAGAAAAACACATGAGCTTTTGCATATACAGAGGAGTGAAAATGAAAATAGATCATTCAATTCTGAGGTGCACAGAATCCAGCCTCCACTGAAACAGTATTGCTTGAGCAACAGAAATATGCAGGAATAAAATGGGTGGTGGAAGGCCATATAATTAGGAGAGGAGGAAAGGACACAGGGACTGAAAGGGCTGGTAGTTCTTTCACCAGCTAGCTCTGTTGATAACCTGGAAGTCATTATGATAGTTTTCAGAAATACTTGCCAGACTGAGTAGAAGTTTAACTGTGACCACAGACTATAGAATTGTCCTTGGCAACATAACCCTGTCCTCTAATGAGATATCGAGACAAGCTTCAGCATTCATCATGGAAAAGTGCCAGGATGAAGGGAAGCTTCTATTTTGACCCCAGTCACGGACATTTCTGGTTTGCCTCTTTGGTTCTTTTGCCAAAACCTTTGCCAAGTGCTACCAATGGGATATGCATTGCTAATGGGCATGTAGGTATGGCAGAGCCTCTGGCTCCATGTGCAAGGAGACAGGTCACTTTGAGACATGACAGCCTTCACATACAGGTGCAAAAGTTCTGAGAAGGACCAGAGTGCATCTAGAATAGTTTTACCAAGAACATTTTAAGTGTCTAAAAATCAATGTGACCAATAAGTACAGAAAAAGAGAAGAAAAAAATGAATCAAAGCTAACTCTCAGAGGCAAATCAAAATACTGTAAAGTAAGGATCAACATATTAAAGATATAAATCAGCGTACTGTTTCGTCTTTCAAACACTGATGTTATGTCTTCAGAGATGATTTCCAAATAGTTCCCCATTTCTTAAAATCACCTAGACAGACTTTTTTATATACCAATATTTATGGGTTTTACTCCCATTAACTCCCCATACATTGGATGAGGTGTCATGGACAGACATTTTGGTAAAGAGTAATCTTCATGCTCAATCAAGTTTGTGAATGATACATAGAGCAGAGAGAACATTCTTTAGTAACAACTGTAAAACAGCTTCAAAGTGTTAGTTCATTTTCCTTGTATTTCTGGCTCCCTTGCAGCTATGTAGCTAAGGAAGCCTTTAAGCTAAGTTCTGTCCAAAAGAGCTAAAAGAAATTGAGGTGTCTCAATAAAGAATTGTCTGGATTGTGTTGGCCTTTATGAATTCCATCTTAATTGAGAGCGAAAAACCCATCTTGAATATGGGCAGGTACTATTTCATGGACTGGGTGAAAAGGATAAAGCCAGCTGAACATTGGGAGCAAACATTCTCTCTGCTCTTGACTGCGAATGTGTCTCCAGTTATAATCTATGACCTGAGATTGTGAGCCAAAAAAATATTCTCTATTACAGTTGCTTTTGTCAGGGTCATTTTTTTTTTTTTTTTTTAATCACAGCAATAGAAACAAAACACAACGGCCAACTTCTAGACACCCTCCCACTAGGGCATGCTCCAATCAGACTTGTATTAAATGTCTAGTCTACTACAATCCTAGGATGCTCTCCTTGTCATTTCTTTTTAAGGTCTCCTCTCTTGATACTAGATTTCTATACAAGTCCATCTTCATCTTCATCATTTAATAAGCCCTCACTCCATGTGGCATACAGATAGCACTGTCAGCATCATTAATAAATCCATTCATGGGGCAGATGCTATGGTTTAAAATGAGCTGTGACTTCAGGGTGGATAAAGTCTAATATTTTTTATTCTAGGAAGCAGCATAAGAAAACCCAGCCAGTATTATCTGTATTTAGCTAAAAAGAATACAAATTACCATAACTGAAAGCACACTAAGTATCCTTGGTATTAGCCATAGCTATAATGGCTTCCATAAGGCAAGAATCAGCCTCAGATGTTCACTGCTCAGACACCCACGAGTTCCAAGAAGTTGGGCAAAGTGCTCAAGTACTCAAAGCGGAAACTACCAAGGCTGAGTTCTTATTCACCCCTGCTGCTAACAAGCACTTTTCTAACTCATCTACACAGTAAGAACCAGAAGAAGGGGAATTGAGCATGAGTGAGTGAGTGAGTGTGTGTGTGTGTTTGTGTGTGTGTGTGTGTGTGTGTATATCCCCACATGCATGGTCTCAGTGCATATATTACAAGGGAAAAAAAGGAGGTTGAGTCTGGTAGGCACATTACAGGAAGATGGATAAGAAATGCAAGATTCCAAAGATTCACTAAGAAGGGAAGTATATTCCAGCAAGAAAGAGGTACTAAAATATGAAACCTCAAAGGGTGGCTTTTGATAGGCAACATCACCTTAGTTTTGAATTGCAGAGACTGCTCATACACAGAAAAGGGAATGGGGGCCAAAGTAACTGCATAATGGAGCTATATCTCTGGGTGAGCCATTCATACTACCGTGTAAAGAATTGAGTTCCCAGGATGAAGTGTGGAAACATGAGTATTTCCTAATGAAACACAAAGAAATTAGTGACAGGTTCTATCAGTTATGCTTATGTGGAGTAGGCCTTCTTATCCCTGTTTATCAGATGGAGAAACTGAAACACAATGAGGTTAAGTCTTTTTTGGCATTCACTAGAGTTTATGACCAATCTACTTTTGCACTGAATTAAGAAATCCAGCTCTTTCCAGGGTCCTGGCTGTGCTTCCAGGAGGCATTTGCAGGGATGAGCAGGAACTGGGGTTCTGAGTAGCCATTTCTCTGAACGCATATGCTCCTTACCTCACACTTCTCCACAGCTGGCTGCTGCCCACATTCAGAGCTGTTGCCTGCCACGATGCCAGCCCGCAGATTCTCACTGTCCCCTGTTCCCTCTTCCATGGAGTAGGTCTTGGAGTGGTTCCCACGGCGGTGAGCAGGGCCCTGACCCTGGGCCAGGCTGAGCTGCCTGCGCAGAGAACGGTTTTCCTCTTCCACCTCTCGCACACGAACCTCCAGGTTCTCCCGCTCCCGCTGGCTGGAGGCAGTGTACCTGGGACTGTGTGCTTGGGACTCCAGGGGAGACAGAGACACAGGCTTACCATCTAGGGGAGGAGAGACCAAGGAAGCATTAGCTTAGCAAACTTACCTCCAGGAACTTCAACATTACCACCCCAGGCTCTTGACCCAATCCCACTGCTTAGCAGGAAAGCAGGTGGACTATGAATGACAAGTCAGAGCATCCATATCGAAATGGGAAAAAAAGTGAGAACAGAATGGCTTATTATGGTAATAAAAATCAAAATACTGTTTACAGAAAGACATTCCGAATATTGTTCCTAGTTAAACACAATGCCTTCCTCCCCATATAATGTGTTTAAAAGTAGACACTCTTAACAAGAAATCACGTAACATGTATGGATAAGGAGGAATGGAAATTTTGAGATGAGGAGCTTCAGAATGTAGAAGAGCTCAAAAGGAAAAGAGGGAATAAAGTGAAGTTCTTCTTAAGTGAACTCCTAAACCAGCTTCCAAACCCTGTTTTAAAAGCATCACCTCCCAAGGGAAGCCATCCTCCGCCTGTATAATGTTGCTTATAAGTATATGATTTCAAGGCTAACTATTTGGTAATTTTTTTTAATTTTTATAATCTGAAAACACCACTTCCCAAAGGCAATTAGCATATCTCCTTGTATAAAGTCAATACCCAATGCATGCTGACTATTAGGAGGTCCAGATACATACACAAGACACGCTCAAAGCTGCCACTCCTTTTTGTTTGTTTCTACTCTGCTGATACTCTAGGATCCAGCCAGAGGGCAACTGTCTCAGAGGCTTCCAATCTATAACTCTCATGACTGGAGAGTGACCATCTCCCTAGCCTGCTAAAATGTGAAGGGTCCAGGAATATAGAAATACAAAATTATAAGCTTAAGAGATGAAAGCTGACAGTCATCACTCTAAGGGTTAACTGCTAACAGTGGCTCTCTGCTTTACAGCCAGCTCCTCTGCAACAGCCAGGGGTTAACTTTTAACTCCCTTGGTCCTTATAGCCAACAACTGCCCGGACCAAAGTTAACTTTTAACTTTACAGCTAGCTGATAAGTTTTTGGGCCTCACGGTGTTTTATTTTTTTTATTCTTTATTTTTCTGGAATAAAATTTGCATCTGGTTTAATAGACTGATGACCCAACAAATGCACTTCCGTTTTTCCACAACCCAAGTTGTCTTCCTCGGAGCCCAGACTAGACTGAGATTTTTTTTTTTTTTTTTTTTTTTTTGGTGTAGGCTTTTTTTTTTATTAGTTTTTTTCCTTTTATTGAAAACAGATTCTTTTCTCAAAAAATATATCCTGATTATAGTTTTCTCTCCCCCTACCCCAAGTTATTCTCCATCTCTCCTCCCTTCCATATCTACTCTCTTTCTGCCTCTCATTAGAAAAAAACAGGCTTCTAAGAGAAACAACCAAACATGGCAAGATAAAACATAATAAGATGAATCAAAAATAATAATATCAAAGTTGGAAACCACAAACAGGAGGAAAAGAGTCCCAAGATGAGGCACGAGAGTCAGAGACCCACTCATTCTCACACCCAAGAGTCCCCTGAAACACTAAGCTACTATCTATACTATATGTGCAGAGGACCTGATGCAGACCCAGGTAGGCCCTGTGCTTGCTGCTTCATAGACAGATTCTAAACTGTACCAGCAAGGCTATGTGGCTCACAGAGCTTGAGGATCAAAGCTGGGGATGAATTACATACCATGAGTTTCACCTGTGCTGCCCATGCTGCTTGCCTCTGCTAAGAGCATTTGATGTCCTTAATAGAAACTGCTATTTTATTTAGCCCCCAATCACTTTAGGGTTAGCTGCATTTGCTCCTGATCCTATCAGTGCAATAAGTATGGCTTACTGAATTCCACTGCCATGAACTACAAATCAAAGGTTAAGGCAGGGGACATGAAATCACAGGTGGATCAGGGGTGCATTGTAACTGGGCTGGTTAATTACAAGCTCCCTCCCCTGCTTTTGAAATCAGCCTCCATGTTTGGTTCCACCAAGAGAATTAAACAGCACAGGACTAGGGCTATAGCTCTGTGGAGAGTGCTTACCTGACAAGTGTGAGGCCTTAGTCTCCTCTGATGCACCTGGCCTTAGTGAATACCCATAACCCCAGCACTTAGGAGGATCAAGAGCTCAAGGTCATCCTTAGATACACAGTTTGAGCTCCCATTTTAAAGCGGGGGGGGGGGGGGGGGGGTAGCTAAAGTAGCTTAGTGAACATGGACCCTGGAGTAGGGTAGACAAAGATGAACATCTTGTTAGTAAGAGAAGGCAGACTCCCAAGGCATGCAGTGACTGACAGGGGTTTCTTGCACATACTATCCTACACACACAGTGCCTTAAGTATCAGAGCACAAAGCAGTCAATATGCCTATACAGACAAGGAGACTGACGCTATTAATGTTCACAGCAGGAAGCTCGCCTTGATGCCACACCTGGCTGTGACCCCACATAAGGGGCTGAGTTAAAGGTCTCTGGATGTGAGACGGCCATTTCTCTCATAAAAGAATTAGGAACATGAGCACAGAACTCAGGAAGATCTGAAGGCCGAAGATACTGAGGGACTCTGGAAACTTAGCAAAGGGAACAAGAGGTTTTACTTCAATGCTCTGAGCTTATAATCCCTTCTGTGAAACAAGAACATAAAGGTAGCATAGCAACAAGGCTGGAGGCTTGAATAAGAGGTCCAAACAAAAAAAGGGCTGTGCCTCCACCTAAGAGGAACCTGGCACATAGGGGTGCCTACAAACCCGCTCCCAAAGAGGGTAACAGAGTTGCAGATGGAATTTAACATGTTAATTATTATGGATGTAAGACTGCAATGTATAAGTAAGTGGCCACAAGTTTTGGCTTCCTCTGACATAATTTTGACAGAGGGTATCTCCCACCATCTTACTCCTGGCCTTCGCTATGTCAAGGTGCACACATAGGAAAACATAGTAGGCAGGTCCAGTACCAGGGCCCTTTCCTATCCTCCTGCTCCTTTCCCCACAGCCCACAAGTCTGTTTAGGAAAATTACAAGCTTTAATCACGTGCTTATAGGAAATGACATTCCTGTTGAGTCCATTTCCAGCCTGTTCTCGGGCCCATTTGGTTTTAACTAAATTTTCTCAAGCATTTACAGATGTTTTCTTGCTTTTCAGGACTCTGTCAATTTGTCACCTGTAAGTATATAGCAAAGAAAAATACAATCCTTTGGGGGAAGAAATGACACCTAAAAGGGTAAAAATAATATCGTGACCAGAACCTGGAATGGAAGATGTACCAATAGTGGATATGAGTGTCATTTCTAGTCTGTTTTGAAGCCATATCACCTTGCCCAAGTCCCTGACCTTTTCAACTACTTTCTTCTTTTGAAAAGGAGGGAAGCTGGGTGTGCTGTCTCACACCTTTAATTCCAGCATAGATATGGTAGATCTCTAAGAGTTTGAGGCCAGCTTGGTCTACATAGTGAGTTATAGGATGGCCAAATATACATAGTAAGTAAGTGCCTGTCTTGAAAAACAAAAACAAAAAAAAAAAAGAAAACAACAAAGAAAAAGAAAAAATGAAAGGAAGGGGAGGGGAGGGAAGGGGAGGGGAGGGAAGGGAAGGGAAGGGGAGGGAAGGGGAGGGAAGGGGAGGGAAGGGGAGGGGAGGGAAAAGGAGGAAAACACAGACCCCTTTCAGATCTTGCTTCCTGTGCAGAGGAACCTGCAGTAACCTGGCTGTGCAATCCCATCGCTGAGCAAATAGATGTAAGTGCTAGGAGGTCCTTGTTGCTTTGCCATGCTGACAGCCTGCTCTCCTTTATTTGGATTATTTTATTTGTTCCTGATGTACTGGTTCCTAACTTTGTTCATCGAGCTTCACCAAACCTTTGATGGGAGGTAACAAGAGTAAAGAGCAAGTCATAGGCTTGTAGTCATAGCCAGTATGTCTTATGGGATAGATTCTATAATTAATCCTCCCAGGGTTAGATTCCATGGTCTAAGTAAACAACTGTGACCATGCCTGATTTTCTTAAGCTATCAATTGTAAAGACACAGCTATTCCCTCTGCTATCCAACAAGCACAAAGTCTTGTCTCTAACACCTTTGGGTGATATTGAGCTGCCCCACATGCAACTCCTTACTCGACCTAAACAAGTCAGTGTACACCATGCTAAACAGGACGAGTCTATGGATCACATTTTGAAGTGTCCACGAAGTCTAACTTTTTTTGCATGTTTCTAATTGCCCAGTCTCAAATTCACATATATATGTAGCAAACTAATACCTGCTTAGGGACTATGATGGTCAATTTCATGTGTCAACTTGACTGGGCCATTAGGTTCCTACACATTTGGTGTTTCAACTGATTACATTTTTTTAACGAGATAAAAATTTGTATCAGTCTAATTAGTAAAGAAGAAATCCTTCTCCAGGGTGAGTGAGCCTCATCCAATCTTAAAAAAGTGGCGGAACTGGTCAGAACTGGAAGGCCAACTATTTCTCTGAGGAAGACAAGTCCTTCTTGCCTGACCACTTTTGTGTCTGGACTTCAGATTTCTTCTGCCTACACACTCAACAGAAGGAACTAAAACACTTGCCCTGTAAAGTCTCTAGGCTGCTGGCATGTGAGCTGGACTGGTCCACTGCCTCTCCTTGACCATAGGCCTCCAGACTGCAATGGCAACTATGTGCTGGCTCACCTTGAGCTTCCAGTTTGCTGGACTCACCTGCAGATCTGCCAGGGACTCCTTTGGTCTAGTCAATCACATACACTCATTCTCTGTCTCTGTCTCTCTGTGTGAGTGTGTGTGTGTGTGTGTGTGTGTGTGTGTGTGTGTGTGTGTGTGCAGGCACTCTCATGTAAGTATGTCCAGGAACATACCCATACATGGTTCTGTTTCTCTGGAGGCCCCTGACCAAAGCAATGACCACAATGATCTACAGATCCTACCCTGGAGGACACTGCCTCACACCAGTCTCTTCAGCTGAAAGCCATGGCACCTTTGCTGCACTTCACAGGGATGTGAAGAAGAGACAGGGGGAAGAGTTTGTAATCTCTAGAGACAA